GAAGTTTCCATTTTCCCTTAAAAGATGAATTTTGGAAGCTTTTAACACTTCATTAAGAAATCAGTTGTTTGTGACCTCTTCTACTACTCTGCCAAAATATACTTACAGCAACCACCCCCTTTTCTCCCACATGGAATAGCATCAGAAACTGTTATTTGATGCCATAAAACAATGTGAATCAGTTTGTTAAGTGTTCACTTGATTAAACGGAACGCATTTTATTGCTGCATTTGCATGCTTTTCTTTGAAATCTGGAGTCAAACAGCTGAATCTCTTTGAGGATTAAGCCCATTTTAGGGGTTTCTCTGTATAAATTATTGGCAAATTAGCAGAACGTTATTGTCTCAGATTTGGCAGTGCTTGCTAGGGGGGAAATGAGCAAAGAATGGATTCTAGCTTGGCTCTGATTATGTTGGTTGACATTTGTAATATATAATACGATTGATTAAGGTTTGGGGAAAATTAAGTGCCTTAGAGCCACAGTGGGAAGTTACTGAGTAGCTTCAATGATCTGTCATCTTTGTTCAAAGAAAGGATTTGTCTTTTGGTCTTGAAAAATGGGTTCAGGGATTCTTTGTTAGTTAAGGGGAAGGTTTACAGTTTTTGCCCTGCCAGAGGCAGTAGTACACATAAAATCAAGATACTTAATTATATTCAGATAGCAGCAGGTGTTGCCATTTAGGAGCCAGTGGTTGTTGACTCTTGTCCAGCAGTGGCCAACATAAATGCTTCAGTGTGAGAGTAGAGGCAGCTACAGTTGGTGCTGATGCATAATGGGGTTGACATTTTCTCCTCGACAAGGAATGCTGCTGGTTGTTGGTCCATATCATGAAACATGACTTAAAATAGCTATTGTAGATAATGTAATAGGGAATGATCATAGAATCACAGAATGTTTTGAGTTGGAAGGAACCTTAAAGGTTTTCTAGTTCCAAGTCCCCTATCATGGGCTAGGACACCTTCTATGAGACCAGGTTGCTTTAAGTCCCATCCAGCCTGGCCTTGAACACTTCCAGGGATGAGGCATCTACAGCTTCTCCAGGAAACCCACCCCAGTCCCTCACCACCCTCACACTGAAGTATTCTTCCTAAAATCTAATCTTAATACATTCTATTTTACTTTAAAACCATTCCCCCTTGTGCTATTATTGGCTGCCCATGTAAAATGTTGCCTTTTTATGAACCTCCTTTAGGTACTGGAAGGCTGCAATGAGGTGTCTCCAGAGCTTTCTCTTCTCAATGACAGCACCAAGAGAAGTGTTGTGAAGTTCTGCTTATCTTTGGTGGTGTTTTGTCTCAGTCTTTCCCCCTGTGTACTTCCACTGAATTCCCTTGCTTTTATTTCTTGTTGAAGACTTGTGAACTGTTCTGCATTGGAAAGCACATAAGGAGGCAGGAACAGAAATAAAAGGTCAGGCTTATCCTGGTGCTACAGTGTACAGTGATATCCCTGGCTGGATGTGCCCACACTGAATTCGAGCAGAGGGAATGAGGGAAACACAAGAATTGAGTTGATCAGTTGATCACAAACTGCCACGGCCTTTTGGTTGTTCCTCTGGATCTGTAGAGTGGGATCTCATCAGGAAGAATTCTCAGAAGTTCCACGTACTGTGAGGTTGGTCCTGTAACAGCACCTAAAAGCCAAAGCAAAGCTACCCCATCCCCTCCCTATTGCAAAACCAGCCCAGCCTGGCCCTGGCCCCTTTCTTCTTGCAGTCACAATGCTCAGTTTTTTCTGTTTATCTTGCTGAGAAGCTTTGAGGTGGCTCTGGATAAGCAGCTTTGGTCTCTGAGACTGCAAACACTAATGAACAGGCAGTGGCATCGTGGACATCAAACTGCATTTAGTGATGAGTTAAGGGTTTGTTTTGGTCTCCCTTACTCTAATTTTGGATTGCAGTGTAAACCTCTTTAACCAGAGTCAAAATTTCTGGGTGGAGTCAGTATATTTTGGACATTTTTTTGCTGATTTTTGGGATTTGTTCTGTTCAAGTGCAACATGATTTTTTTTAAAATAGGTTTTGATTTTTAAATTTGAAAAGACAAGTCATTTTGAAATTGGTTTGGCTATGACTGAAACTAGTTGTGTTTAATTCAGGAAAAACAATCACCTGAAGACAAAATAAAATGTTTTGATTTTTTAGAGTACATTTTGGGTTTGTTTTCAAACTTCATTAAAGACTTAAAAATACAAATACTTCTCCTAAAAAAAACACAAAAACCCACACTAAAATAACACACCCAAACCTAAGAACAGAGACAAACCCCCACAAACCTTGTTCACTTCAGACTGACCTGCAATTATTTTTTTGAGTTTTATTTTTCTATTCTGCCAATATATACAAAGTGCTCAGTTTTTCACAAACCTTTCTGTCCCCGTGATTTGTATCAGAGAGCTGAGGTACTTGAGTCACGGCTTCTGAATAAAAAACTGGTTTTCTTCAGCCTCCAGTAAGGCACTGTAAGGCAAGGTTAAACCTTACTCTCATCCACAGCATTCCCTCTGCTTTCAGCATTTCATCCCTGAGTGTGCAGGGCTCAGAGCAGTGTGATGACTTTCAAGGCTCACAGCTGAGATACTTGGGGCTTCCCTCTACCCTGTGAGGAATTGCTCAAATCTTTTCACGTGCTGAGAGAAATAAAGAGCTCAGAAGAGGTTTGTACTCTAAACCCAAGTTTTACACAAATAGTAACAAAACCTATAAACTGTTTTAAATAGAGAAACTAAAATAATTATGTGAGACAGTGGCAAAGAAAAGAATATTTAAAATATCCTTTCTCAAGGGGTTTTCATAAAAGTATGGTGTAGAAAGCCTCTGCCAGACTTTGACACTTTCCTTTTCTGATCTGCTGTCTTTTGAAACTGGATTACTTGAATCAACACGCAATACCAGATAATCTGCATCCCTGGACATCCAACAGAAAGTAGTGAAAGGCTTTCAGGTCAAAACCAAGTACAGGAATGTCAGGAGCATTCTGTGGGGCTGGATCTCCAGAGCTGCATGTTTTAGTTGTTGGGAGTTTTTTTGCATGAAAAACCCACAGGTAAGTGGCTTTCAACCCAACTAAGTATTCATGACATGTCCAGACACAGACACTGGGTCATTTTCTCAACAGTGCCATTGAAATGAATGAAAACTCCAGCACAGTACAAACCTCACCTGCTACAAATTAACTTCAGTGGTGTCAATTTAGATTTTGGGGCTGGAATCACCTGACACAATGCCTTCATTTTCAGTGCAAACTCCGTGATCTGAGCAAGCTGTGCTAGCATTTATTTGGAGAGATTCATCCCTGCCTAAAGTGGCAGTCTGAGATAAGCCAGGGGGATTATGCCTGCTTCCTCAGTACAAAGGGAGAAAGGGTTGACAATTTCAAATGTAGCTATTTGCTTAGTCATTGTAAACAATAAGTGTTAGATGAGGTGCTTTTGACCCTGCTTGTGGCTTTCCATAAAAATTGAGAAGAAACTCTCATTGGCCTGGGCATTTTTAAGAGCTTCATAAAGATGGGCTGTCAGCATTATGGTCGTATACTCTAACCTTTTGCCACACTGTGAACAGCCTCTTAATCCACAAAAGAGCACACCAAAGTCAAATGGATGTAGCTGCCCAACCTGAGATACTTTAAAAGGTCTTAATTTGGAAAGCAAGACTCCCAACCTGTCAAAACTTGACACTGTGCCCTGCATCAAGGTGGGAAACAAACCTGAAACATTAGGCATAGCAGAACTTGTGGAGAGAAAAGAGCTGAATGCAAAGCTCTGCATATAATGCAGGCTGACAATATTTGGGGGAAAGTCACAGGGATTTCTATACTGGACAGCTCCATGATGCAGAGGCTTAAATGGCAGCCTGTGTAGCCAGTCAAACAAGTGTTGACATCAGAAGGTCTTTGCTGGTGAGTATTCAGAAAATACAGGTGTCTATCTAGGAATTTTAAGATCCTTCATCTTTAATTTTTGCATTCCAAATAGCAGCTACTTCCAGTGCTAGTTCACCCCTAAGGACTTGCACCTTTACAGAAATGTGTAAAAACCTCTGCAAGTGCGGGAGAATTGGGCTCCAGAGAACACGTACATCCAACAGTGTGTATCACTGGTGTCTGACTTTCAAGCCTCGGTGGTGCTGCCTTTGAAGTCAATGAGAATTTTGCTATTGACCTCAGCTGGAATGAGATCAACAGGAACAAGCCCTTAGGTAAATATGCTCAGACACATTAATCAGAGGTGTGTTTGTTTCCTTAATGACTTTTTGGACCCTTCAGAAGGGAGGATTTCAGTTTGTTTCAATAGAGTGAGGGCAGCTTTAAGAGTAGCAGTTATAAAAGCCAGACTTTCAAAGTATTTTGCTATTGTCTAAGTAGGTGCTATGTGTGTCTTGAAGCATTTGGTTTGAACGCAAAGGTCACCCCAGAGGCGTGTGTAAATGTCTCCTGGATTTCTCTTTTTTGACTGTTTTTTGCTCTTTCTCTGCAGTGCTCCAATTACCTTTCACAGCACTGTTGATGCAGGCAGACTGAACCAGCTTTGTTTTGGCTGGAGATATAAAACAGTCTCAGCTAATTTTCTGACAGATTTTCTTCCAACCTAATCTAAAATCTCTTTGTTTTTATGTGCTACTAATCTATTGTGTGCATGATGGCATTAAGTCGTGCCAAGTGAGTGAACAAGTGATCAAGTTTTTGATCGCTGATATCTCACTGAGATGCAATTAGACATTTTTACTTTTGAAAATTACATTTCAATAACAAAAAGAGAACTTGTGATGCTTTAATAATGTGCTTTTTTTTTTTTTTCAAGGGAGGGAATTTCTATTTGACACTGACAAAGCATTAATTGTAAGCACATATTATGTGCTATGGATTTCATAACACAGGCACAGACCAACACAAAGATACCTGTGTACACACACTCCAGACTTTTTATCCTTTTTACCTAACCTGCTCTCTAGAAGAATGTAATGACCTTGAAAGAGGAAGAAACAAAAATGAAACCATGCTGAAAAACTTTTATCTTTTTATTATTGGTGCCTTTACATTAATACTGCTGTTTTGTGCTGAGAAAACCAATCTGTTACACATAAGGTAACTGTAATATACAACATAGAAATGCAGTCTAAGTTAATTACAACAAGGAGCTACAAAAAAAATTCGTAGGAAAGAAGTCACCTAACATTGCAACTGTGCTTGCAACAAATCACTCCCTTACTGCAGGACTATGCACATTGTGAACCATGGTTATTTACATGTCCCTTACGACCGTTAACAACAGAAGGGCTAAAATCAGTCTAAAAAGTTCCAGAACGTCACTATATACTGTACAATCCTCAAAAATAATTTATTACACTGTTTCTAAAAAAAGGTACTAATTTTGCTTTGATTTCTTTTGTTTTCTTGTGTTTTCTGGAGTGCACAACATGTGCAAAGTTTTGCCTAACAGTCTAAAAACTCAAGAACTGAACCACGAGCCACAATCACAGAGACGAAGTGGTGGAGTCCAGAACTTCCCTCCCATTGCAGACGGTGGGTACGTACATACTGGCAGATGCTGAAAGAGAAAGAGAGGGGGAAATCAACTCACTTCAGGACAGCAAAAAAATGACAACACACAGGATTAGAATTTATGTCGATCTGGACCATCTCACCCAATTTAGCCTAATGAACCTGTGTCAGCAGTGGAGCTGATGGAGGTGCTGCTTGCACCTCTACATGGTAATTCAGACCTGAGGCTGAAGCATCCCCTGGAGAAACCTCATTTCACTTTGCTGACCACTGGGAACATGCAGGGTGATTCCACTTCTACAAGAAGTGTTGGAATAAAATACATGATTTTTTTTTTTTGATGAGTCTGCACCAGTGGGTCTCACTTTATAGCACTTTGCATGGTAGTGTGAATTAGTACAGCTAGAGTGGTGCTAGGATATCTCAGTAGAAGTAAAAAGTGAATCTTTGGATTCTATGTGTTTTATTGGCAAGAAATACTTGAGCTTTCAGCTAATTGAAGTGGACATTCTTGTAAGTAAAATATATGTAGCTTTAAATCCACCTCTGCATATTAGAACCCTGGGTTGATCTACTTTTTAATTACTATAAGAATTATAATTAGATGTTGGATGAGGTGAAGAAATTTTTGAATAACTGAATTTAAAAGCAAGATTATGTCTCACCTAATCCCAGAATAATTTGTGCCTGTAATACGCTTCATTTCTAGGAGCTTTGGATCAGGATTCAATACACATCCAGAGGTGAGGGCCAGATTCTGATAAAACTGTTTGCAAAGTATAACATTTTATACATCAGCTTTTCATTGCTCCAGTGATACCAGATGGTAATTGAATCTGAGTACCAAAATCTGCTTCTAAATGTATTTTTATTTTGACTGTAGAATATATTACCCCATTCTGCTAAAGTCTTGTGGATTTTAATTTAAAAGCAAGCTGGTTTGTCCATCTTTGTTAAAATTATCCACTGGGCATCAAGAATGTGTTTTCAGTTGCTCTGTGACATCTCTGCTCACAGCACCACAAAGCTGTTTTTTGAAAGATACATTAGGTTAATGGTAACAGTGACCCAGAGAAATGTGATGCCTTCATCAAAGAAAACACACGGCAAGCAATGACTTAGTAAACTCAATCATCCAGTGTAAAAAGCAATTTATTCAGCTGACAAGGGCATGCTCAGTCTTTCAGATCTGGTGCTGGCTACACTCTCAGTTGCAGACTGGTTCATTAAAGATGCTCAGCATCATTTTTAGAACAAATAATTCTTTCTTCAAATCAGCTACTATTTCTAATTCTTTCATTGGCTGAATTATTATTTTATGTAAAACAGAACTGCCTTAAAAAGAGAAATTTAAAGCCATGTATTAAATTAACTTACTACTTAGAGGGCAGGACATATTCCTGATAAACAGGAGAGCCAAGAATGAGCCCTTGTTCTGGATTAGGTGGATGGAGTTTGATGTCTCACAACACAGATATGTGTTTTGAGTCACAGATGTGGAAGCAGTCATTGTGGGTAGAGGGCCAGAGGGTATCATGTTTGCAGTTTGTGAAAATTAACTATCAGGTCTTGTGTTCTGTTTTTCACTGGGTATAACATGGCAGCACACTGACCTAAATTCTTTATTATTGTTGTTACTTTTATTTCTACTTTTTTTTTTGAAAGCAGAAAAATCAGTTCTGTTCAGGAAAACTGATTCAAATCCCCGCTTCAACTGCTGTATGGCTACAGGCAAAAGCATTTTTTTTCCCCTGAACATCGGTCACTTATCCAGTACTTTTTTAGCTTCTGGGTTTTTTTGAAGTCCAACACATTGATGAGCATGAACAGCTCAAATACTATGGTAACTGGGTCAGGGGGATATCAAAATTGGACAGAAATATATGGTGGTAGACAAGAAAGTAGTGGCCTTGCCTTTTGAATTCTCAGGCTTTCTCCACAGCACATATCCCTCTCGTGCTGTGCTGGGATGAAGTTATTAACTCTGCTGGGTGGAGTAAAGAGTTCACACCAAGTATCCAACTCTCCTGAGACAGTACAAAAGATCTTGCTTTTCATTACAGACCTCAGCAGTGTTAATCACTGGCCCTGCAGGGTTCTGAGTGTCCTGTAGAAGCAGCCAAGGGGTTTTCTGAAATATTGCAGGATATGCAAGAGACACTTCACCTTCATTTTGCCTTGTGTTGAGACCAAGGGCAAATGTGTGACATCACCAGAAGTTGTGATTTGGCTCCAGTTCATGCTTTTGATCTCCTCTTTTCTGGCTGTCCCTCATTTTGCTTAGACAACCCAAGGAAAAGAACCAGAGGTACAACGCAAGAGCCAGCACTGTTGTAGCCACCTTGCAGCATTCCTACAGAGCCAGGAATGGGCAGATCCCTTTTAGCTCTAATTCCATGTCTTTCTATGGTTCAAAAATTTCAACAAGACATCCCGTATTCAATTAAGTGTAATCAGTGAAAGTACACGATTGAAGCCACCTTTCTAAACAATGAAGCAGAAAGAGATTCTAAGTCTGGATTTTTATGCTTTTCTTAATGTTTTAAAGCTACTCATAAACCTGAAAACACAGGCTTTAATGCAAAGATGTGTATTGAGGATGTCTCTCAGTTGCATGCGTGCTTGCATGCACATGTTATCCAGCCGTTAAAATAAAAATATCAAATTCCAAAGCCCAATCCAGAATCCAGTACAAATTATTTATGAATTAAAATGATTTCTGACTAAGCTTATTCTATAGCATGAGAGTATTAAGAAATTTGGTAAGAGCACTTACACAAAACTCCCAAGAGATGAAAATAATCTCATGGGACCAAACTTCTCAAGATTTTGGGAAACCCTTGGTCCTTTGGGAGTGTTCAGTACTTTGAGCACATAAGGCCATCTCATTAAGTTTTCCAGAATAGCAAGGGGTGTTTGCTCCCTGGTGTCAGGGCTGGATGCAGCTCTGATGAGATGGAGAACATGCAGAGACACATGGCTGCTCTCTGGTTAAGGGACCCTGGGCATTCATATACAGTGTGGTTTGGGATGGGAGAGCTGGAGATGGTTAGGATCCCTTTACCTCCTAATCCCTGCCATGGTGATACACAGCAGGGTTCCAAGTTACTTCCATGTTCTGTCTGAAATCTGAGGTGCCAAAGGTTTTGAGCCAATTTTGAAATTTAGGTGACACTCAAAAACCTCAGCCTAGATTAGTGTGAACTTGCTAGCAAGCCTTGTTCTGTGCCTGCCCTCCCCATCCCTTTCTTATTCCCTTTCTCTTTATAGTTGCAGAGTGATTTCAATTGGAATTCCAGAGTAGACATCCTGTCCACAGTGCTCTGTTAACAAGGTGCTGTGTGCTCCCATCTTTGACTAGTTAAGCTAATTAGGCTAGATTAAAAAAACACCAAAAACAACCCCCAAACAAATATACAGTTGACCTATTTTTTTTTTTAAATTCAAAAAAATCTCTGAGCAGCTCACCCAGATAAGGAGTAACATCCTCAAAACAAAATCACAGCTGTGAATCTGCTTGCAATAAAGAAAGTAAAGATGAAGGAAAGGGGGGAAGAAGAGCAGATGAGTTGTCCTTGCAAAAGAGCACTGATTGCTTCTCCTGGCTGTGGCACTAACAAAGGGTATTGATCATGCTCTGCATACAGATGCCATTTATGGCATCCCTTGGATGCGTCTGCTGCAGACCTGGTGCCTTTCCTGATAATGCAGGTGATGAGCCATTGAGACCATGCTGCGTTGTGGCCCAGGTCCTGTCAGCATGTCACTTTGACAGGAATACTCCAAGGCAATCTGCTCCTGTCACAGCTGCCAGGGTGACAGTGAACCACAGGGTCTATTTGCTTTGTGCAACAGGCTGGAGTCAAAGCCCGCCAAAAACTTTCTGCTGACTTCAGTGAGCTTCAGAGCAGGCTCTGAGCTGATTCCCATGGGAAGGGGATGGATTTTTCTCTCCAGACACACAGAAAGTGATCCTTTCACAGGGTACAAAGTTCAACCTATTAAGATCTTCCTCTTGCTGGTAAAAGGCCTGTTTTGCCGTTACCCAAACTCACCACAACCCACACCCTTATAGAAAAGTGACAGTTTTGTTACTTACACTGGGAGTAAGTTGTCCCGGTCCCACTGACACTGAACCTGTTGAGATGGAGTCTGTGAGTGACCACGTTCTTCTGGGGCTGGAAAAGGATGATGTGCACCTTGGGTGCAAACAGGCAGCCCAGCACAACGAAGCCGCTCAGACTCACAGAGATGCACATGGTGGTGGTTTGCACCTAGGACAGAGCGGGCACAAAGCACTGTGTTTCAGTATGGAAAGCTCTGAAATGCAGAATACTTAGAGACATTATCACACAACAGCAAGAACCACACTCCTGGGAGTTTGCATCCTTTTCTTCCACAGTCTTAGTATGAGTGGGGTGCATGGTGCTGTGTCTCTGCACATCAGGGGGAGATTGAATGAGTGTGTTCTCCCTCTGTTTAGTACAGAAAGGATAGTTCTGCACTCTTTCTCTCTCACCCCTGATTTCTAACTCGATGAGGGAACCCTCTGTAATGCCTTTCATGCAATATCTGGACGGTCCTGGCTGCAGTGGGAACCAGCTCACACACACCATACATCACATGGGTTTATATCAGGTGTCTCATGCAAAACATCCATCTGAAAACCATTTTAGTCTCCAGCCTCATTCCTAATCAGAGAATTTGAGTAATCCCTTGCAGAAAAGTACATGTAATTTGGAGTAAACATAATAGCTAGTGACTGTTGTCAGACTGGGCCTGAAAGGTGTCCTAACTCTGAGACATCAGTTTTTGGGCTAAGAAGTGAATTGTTTGTAAGGCTGTAGGATTTTAGAGTAGTTGTTTCAGGGCATTTGTTAGCATAACTTTGATGGCACTGGCTTTTATCCTTTTTATTCAATAGTATGACTAGGTGCCAGTTTACTGCCTCATTTTCGGTTTATATTTTTTTCTTCCAAGCAGACTCCTTAATTAAGATGTTGAATTAAACTGCTTTAAACTCTACTGCTCAATTTGAATGATTATATATCCACGGCTCATTTTTTCCTTAGTTACACTCCTGTAGTTCTTGGAGATTAGCCTTCATCCATGGGAATGCTTCTCATATTTCCTTGTCAGAAATAATTGGTGCAAATTAAAAAATAGAATAGGGAATGGACTTTGTTGCTTTATATATATACTGAGCACGATTGGTGTTTTGTCATCAATGAGTATAATTAATGTGATCATATAATAATCACTCTTTACACAATGTGGATGTGGCAAAAACTGTGAAAAGGTACTCAGCTTTCATGGGGTGAGTGAACATGGAAGGTTCTACAGAGGCTGCATGAGAAAGGAACACCTTTGCTGTACCTTCTCCTTCTTTGCATTTTGTCCATGGAGCTATGCTGTCAGTTCAGGTGGGTATTGAACTGGGCGCTTGTACAGATAAGACAGGGAGTTTTCTTATAAAACAAGAATAAATGAAGCTACCTTTATTTTCATTAGTTTCAAGGTAAGTTCTCTTCACTATCAAAGCCCTCCTCCCCACTCTGCTTTCCTAGGGTTTGTGCCTCCTGGAGCAGCTCAGCTGTGCTGGCATAATTACACACTCAATCAATTAAATGATTTGGGTTAAAAATAGCTCCCTCCCACAGGGTTCCTTTTAATCCAGGTCACTCCAGTGGTTCAGTGTTTAACCTGGCCTCACAGACTGGACTGGTGTGCTGGTGGAGTGGAGGAAATCCTGCTAAACCATGTGTTATGCTGAGACACGTGGAGAACTGGGAGCTGATTCAGGACAGACAGCACAGCTTCACCAAGGGCAAGTCCTGCCTGACCAACCCAGTGGCCTTCTGTGATATAGTGATTGCATCAGCGGACAAAGGCAGGGCTACTCATGCCATGTATCTGGACTTCTGTTATGCCTTTGACACAGTCTCCCACAACACACTTATCTCTAAATTGGAGAGATATGGATTTGATGAGTGGACTGTTAGATGAATAAGAAACTGGTTGGGGGGTCACATCCAGAGGGTCAAAGGCTCAGAGTCCTAATGGATACCAGAGACAAGTGGTGTCCCTCTGGGGTCTGTACTGGGACCAGTGTTATTTAATATCTTCATTAATGACGTAGATGAAGGGATTGAGTGCACTCTCAGCAGGTTAGCTGATGAGTGGTGCAGCTGACACACCTGAAGGATGGGATGCCATCCAGAGTGAGATGAACAAGCTTGAGAAGTGGACCCATAGTATGGTTTAACAAGACCAACTGCAAGGTGCTGTAGCTGGGCTGGGGCAACCCCAGTATCAATACAGGCTGAGGGATGAGCAAATCAAGAGCAGCCCTGCTGAGAAGGACCTGGGGATGCTGGTGGGGGAGAGGCTGGACATGACCCAGCAATGTGCACCTGCAGCCCAGAAACACAACTGCATCAAAAGCAGCATGGCCAGCAGGTTGAGGGAGGTGATTCTGCCCCTGTACTCTGCTCTGGTGAGACTCTACTGGAATGCTGCATCCAGGTCTGGGGCCTCCAACAAAAGAAAGACATGGAACTGTTGGAACAAGTCCAGAGGAGGGTCACTTGGTTGATCAGAGGGCAGGATAAGTTCTCCTATGAACACAGGCTGAAGGAGTTGTTCAGCGTGGAGAAGAGAAGGCTCCAGGGAAACCCTAAAGCACCTTCCAGTACCTAAAAGGGGCCCACAGGAATGCTGGAGAGGGACTTTTCTCATGGGAATGTAGTGACAGGACAAGGAGGAATGGTCTTAAGCTGAAGGGTAGATACAGGTTAGACATTAGGAAGAAATTCTGTACTATGAGGGTGGTAAGACACTGGAACAGGTTAGCCAGAGGGGTTGTGGATTACCCATTCCTGGAGGTGTTTAAGACTTGGCTGGATGTGATTCCAAATAACTGATGGTGTCCTTGCCTTTGGCAAGGGGCTGAAGCTAGATGATCTTTAAGGTTCGTTCCAACTCAAGTCATTCTATGATTCTATTCTATGAAACACACCATTTGCCTGAGAGAATTGTCCAAGAGTTTCTTAAATTCTGTCAGGCTTGGTCCTGGAATGACTTCTCTAGGGAGCTTGTTACAGTGCCCAGCCACCTTCTGGGTGAAGATCCTTCTTCTAATATCCAGCCTCTCCTGACACAGTTTCAGGAAGAAGTAGAAGAGGCATTACTCAGACAACTGGAAGAAGTCTCCTGTTTGCAGGCTCTGATTTTCTTGTGGCAGTTCTCAGTCTAATACTGACTGGAGGGACACCACAGAAGGGCAGAAGAGAGGCAGAGAAAGCTCCAGCTGCTGCAACCAGCAAATGGTGGAATTCAGGATTCCAAGAGGACAAAACCAGACAAAAAGTCCATAGAAGTTCAGGCAACTTCTTGGAAGAATACCATAGGATACCTGGAGAGTAGAGGGGTCAAGGAAACCTGGCTGTTTTTCAAGAATCATTTCATCCAAGCTTAACAATGGCCAGTGGCCCATCCCAGTGGGCAGGAAATCAAGTAAATGTTTCGGGATGTTTGCATGGATGAGCAATGGCTGTCAATAGTATGGATTGACACAGGGAAAATTGTTTAACCACCCTGACAGACTTCTACAGTGAAATGACCGGCTCGGTGGATGGTGAGCGAACAGTGGATATACATATATATATGTATATATATGGATATATATAACAATTCTTAGTAAGGTTATTAACAGTCTCCTCTGACATCTTTGTTGACAATATGATGAAGTACAGACTAGATAAGTGGTCAGTGAGTTGAAATGAAAACTCGTTGAACTGCTGGGCTCAAAGGATTGAGATCAATGTCTCAAAGTCCAGACAGAGGTGGGTCACTAGTTGTTGCAGGGGTTGATATTAGCACCAGTGCAGCTTAAGACCTCCATTAACAGTCTGGATGCAAACAGCAGGTGTATTTGCTGCAATCTCAACATAGCTATAACATGCTGTCAAGTACCTGTCATATAGGGTTCATAGAGGAACATTTCTGCTTCAGTATTGGTATGAATGTATCCTATGTTGAATTACTTTTTTTTTTTGTTCTTCACATACTGTGGTGAGTTCAATAACAAATCTCTGGATAAATTCTCAGGAACTCTCCTTTTTTTTTTTTTTTTTTTTAGAAGGGTGAGTCCTAACTGATGTTTGTGCTTAATCATAAAATCTCAAGCCAGCCAGCATTAATTATTTTATTGCTGCTAATATGTTTCTAAGGTTTTGATTGGGGATGCTACCGGAATTCAGCTACACTGAGATGGCACAAGTTGATTCATAGTCAACATGTGACTCTGCATGGGAATTAAATATGGGTTTCTCAAAGCAACCCCAGCAGTGCAGACTTGTCGTGAAAGTATAAAAAAGGTGTTAAAAGCATTTTCTGCTGGTTTTGTAGGACTTGAGTTGGCTAATTTGGAATCTTGAATTTAAATTAAATGCCTACAAGTGGTTTTGAAAACCCCACTCAGGACATAAGGCTGTAAAATTCTGCTTGAACAATCAAGTCATGCTCCTCTTGACCATTACTGTCTGTGCTGTCCACTCATGTGACTGTCTGCACTGATATTTCTCTTCTTCTGTGTCTGTCTTCCTGATTGCTTTGGGTGTCCAGAGCTGTTCCCTAGTGCCTTCCTTAAACTTTTCTGTCATTAGTTTCAATCCATTACTCGCTATTCTAACTTCTCCTGAGACTGAATAATCCCTTCCTCTCTTTTTGTTGCCTGGAAATTATTTATAGTCTGTGATCACGTCTCCCTGGGTTTACTCTTGTCTAGACTAAATATATTTAGCTCTTTTACTGTCACTCTGCGTGTCTTACTGCGTCATTTGTTAGCTATCCGTGTTTTCTCGAGGTTTTCAGAATCTTTCCTAAGCTGAGAAAAGTAATACCAAATACATTGTTCCAGGGTGGTCACACCAAAATTAAGTTAAATGACATTATTAGCTCCAGTTTTATATGCTATTTCATGTACACACTAATAGCAGTAATACCCACCTAAGCTAATCTACCTTTCTTCCAGGTAGAATGTTGAACTACTTTTTTGAAAATTGCTGTAAGAGCCAACTCCCTCACTCATTTCTCACATCATAATAACTGTGAGATTTCCAGTGGAGAAGATCTGAATTTTTTTCTCAGACAATTTCCTTCCTTTCAAAAATACGATTTTATTGAACTTGAAGCTTTGCAACACTATGTGACAATTTAAACAGTTTAATATTTTTAGAGTTTGTTGGTGTAGGCTGACCAATATTTTATGCTCAGTGACTTTGTGTTTTACAACGTGCAGAAAGAATAAAAAGTTCTATCTATTCTTCTTAAAGAATAACATTTGTTGGATTTTTTTTTACCAACCCTGTTTAATAGGAAATTTTGAAATTCTATCCTTTTATTTTTTACTTGGAAGAAAATACCACATTTCAATAGCAGAAGGAGACTGGGTAGCTCAGATTTTATTTTAAGGCCCATTTCTGCCAAATAGCTCATTATGACTCATTCTAGCTCATGATCTACTAGGTTTTTCTGTTAAGACTATGATGTCAGATACTCATGAACCTGTATGAATACTTAATCTATACTCTGTCTCTATCACGATCAGACTGATAGTACTAATCCTTTCCAGCTCTAACTGTACATGTTCTTTTTGAAGTGAGACCATCTTTCTCAGAAGTAAGCCAAAATCTGCTAACACTGAAAGAGAACTTGTTTGCAAGGGATCCAGGGGACAAAAGAACTGAAAGAACCTTTTAGTGAATGCTGACAAGGTCCTCTAAAGTGACTCATATGATTTATGGAAACAGATATCCAAAGACTTACTCTGTAGTCACTGGATGTCACATAAAATATAGGGAGAAAGGCCAGCCAAATGATGCACGTTGTGTACATTGTGAAACCGATAAACTTGGCTTCGTTGAAGTTCTCTGGACATTTCCTTGTTTTGAAGGCATATACAGTGCATAAGACTACGAGGATTACATCATATGTTAAGGAGATTAACATACTGGAATCCTTGACGTTGCATTTCAGTATGACAGTCTCTCTCTTCTCGGGAACAGTGTAGCGCCTGGTGCCTGGGGCCTCCAGGATAAGCCACACAGACACCACCACAACCTGGACCAAAATGAGACTCAGGCAGATGAAGACCTGAGAACTGGGGCTGATGAACTTGGGCCTTTGAGCACCGTTCTTTACACCATCGAATATTCTGGCTATGCAGTTCGTTTTTGTCAGAAGGGCAGAGTAGCAGACAGCAAAGGAACTTCCCAATCCCAAGCGACGGAGGGTGCAGATGGCTGGAGAAGGCTTGGCTATGAAGAAGAAAGTCATGCTGTAAGACAGGAAGACCCCAAAGAGCAAAATGTAGCACAGTTCACGGCCAGAGGCTTTGACCAGGGGAGTGTTGTTGTGCTTGATGAACACCCCAATAACCATGAAAGTACAAATAAAGCCTAGGCATGCAATGGTAACAGGACCTATTGCCCAAGCATCTTCCCACTTGATGTAGTCTTCTGGTAGGTCGTAACAGCCAGTCAGGTCAGCTGTGGGCCATTTTCCAGGCCCGCAGTCTGCACAAGTGAATTCATCAGCCAGGTACTCGTAGGTTTCACAGGGAATGCAAATCCAGCAGCAGACATCTCCTGGTTGCATATTCTTCATCTCGTTAGGAGCGCAGGGGTCGCTGCACTGGGAGACAGGGACAGCGCTCCTGGACCACTGGATAGAGTCTACCTCAAGCGACAAAGTTTCTGCCCACTGGCCAACTTTCACATAGGAGTATTTGTCTCCAGTGTACTGGAAATTGAACACGTTGTATCGTCCTATCCCATCTCCATAGGCGTCAAATTTGACCATACTGTCTGGATCATTGGGAGGGTTGAAGGGAGCTGTGGGGAAAAAACAAACAAACAAGAACAGAGAATGTTATTATCAAAGCTGCATCTTACTTTTTTCCAACCCTTTAGCAAGCACAAGCACCTGACAGCTCATAGAACCCAACTGTCAACAGGTAAGTCAAGAGGTCTGTATTTGCCTCAGTTTTGAACCTGGAGGAAGAAAAGAGCTCAGATAGTACAACTCTATTTCACTGTGCTGTATGAGATATATTTGTAAGTGTAAGATGACCAATGTCCTTACTGGTTTTTGTCTTGCATACAAATCAATTCTCCAGTTACTTCCCCCAGTAAGCACTGCTGTTACCGGTCACATTTTCTCTTGAATGAAAGAGGTCTGCTTCTAAATTGAGACTCAACATTGTTTGGTGAAATTTGGCTGCTGTGACAGAAGAAAATTCAAATGGTCAGATCAATAAATGCTGTTTTGAGGCCAACACTTTGGAACACAGTTGAATAGAGGATTCATTTTCAGGATGATGGAGAAGTAACTGTGAAGTCCTCAACAATTTCTTACTATGTCTTTTCACTTCTCCCTGTGTAGTAGGAAGTTTAGAATCCCTTCTATTTTGTTTCAATTTTACCAGTTTCTGATATTTCTTGTCTGGTCTGAGATTCCCAGCACATGCTGCTTTGGTCCTGTATCTTGTTTGGGGAATAGATGAAAAAACCACAAACTGTATCTGTGACCTTCTGTGAAATCAATATTGTAACACTTCCAACTGCTAAGCTCTGGAGAGTTTTGTTTTTACTCCATCTGAGGCTTTGGCAAGGAATGAAGAAATATTAAAAATGTAGGAGGAAATTGCATTTACCATGTGATTTATTGTCCATTTGCTGTAGCATCAAAGGTGAAAGACTTTACAGGCAGGAAGTGAAAGGGGGTTTTTTGCCACTGATGAGCAATAAAGGTGATTTTATTCCCCAGTGTTTTTGGTTGCAGAAGTAGTTCCACTGTCATTGCTGGAATAAATCTCTTTCCCTACCTCTGTGCCCATGCTGTGCTTGAGCATGAGCAATATCGTATAAGGATGTAATATCTTCCTCCACTTCAATTTCCAGATACTTTGGATTTCTTGGGGTAGATTTATTTAGCTTCTTTAAAGCACTGAGGCCAAATTCTTTCACCTTTATTACCGCAGAGTGTTACCTTATTTTGCAATACACTGGCTAAGGTCAGTAAAAGGGACACTGGATTTTGGCACAGAAGCCCCAGCTGGAGCGTTGAAATGTAACCTGCACCCTTCAGGTGCTGTACTTGGAGTGCATTTCTTTCCCAACTTTCTGCTTATTGTAGAGCAAGACCGGAATAGCATTTAAGTCACCTATACTCTCTTCTGGGTTTGAGTCAAGACTGCTTGTTCTTATCCCTGCTCACTCCTGCACCTTATCACCTCACCTGTGTCAGCTCCAGTGGTGGACAGCCTTGGTTTGCAGGATTACAGAATCACAGAATTACAGAATGATTTAGGAAGGAAGGAACAACTGGTGGGGTCATCTGGTCCAACTCCCCTGCTCAAGCAGGGTCATCCTAGAGCACATGGCACAGGACTGAGTCCAGACAGTTCTTGACTATCTCCAGTGAGGGAAATACCACAGTCTCTCTGGGCAACATGCTCTGGTGCACTGTCACCTGCACATAAATGAAATTCTTCTTCATGTTCAGGTGTTCCAGTTTCTGCCCACTGCCTCTCATTTCATTGCCTGGCACCACTGAGAAGTGGCTGGCTCCCTTCGGATACTGATATAAATTTATGAGGTCCCCTCTTAGTTGTTTCTTCTAAAGGCTGAACAGGCCCAACTCCCTCAGCCTTTCCACATAAGACAGATGATGCAGTTCTCTTGTCATCTTTGTAGTCCTCTACTGGACTTGCCCCAGGTGCTCCATGTCTTTCTTGTATGGTACAGAGTAGGACTGGGTAGCCCAGGAACTTGTAAGAGGTTTATTTTATCTTTTTCTATACTGTTGGCATCTAGTTGTACCACTCTGCAGTCCAACAAGACCTCTGAGTGCACAAAATTTAAAAGCAGCATAATGCTCTTCCAAATGGCCAGTCCTCCTGGAAATTACATGCTGTAAATTAAACAGGTATTCAAAATATAGGTCAACAAGAAGAATATTAAGCAGCCTCCCTTCTCTTCCTCCTCCTCCTCACGCACAGGCATGCGAGCTCTCTCATCCAGGAGCAGCATTAAAACAAAATCATAATGCAGCACTTAACAGCTCTTCAATAATGTGTTGTCATTGCCAGTGTCTTATTTCATTATTCATGACACTCATATAGATTGTAGAAGCTGTTAACACAGCAGCCCAGCTTTAAGAGCCAATTTATTCACTTCAGTGTTATCCAGGCCAGCTCCTGAGATGGGCTGAGAGCCTGTGACTGCTACTGGCACCAGTGGAGCTTCAGGCAAGCAAGACAAACTGCAAACTGGTTGTTTGGCATCAAAACCTGAAGGGCACAAACACCCCAGTGTAAGTTACCTTACGGCCTGAAATACCAGCACTTTTCAGGAAAGAATTCCCTCTGTGTAATATGTTTAACAACTTCTTAGTTCTGATAGAATATTTATCATTGAAACAGAGCAAAGTATTTTCCTTAGACTTTACAGGTAGGTACAGAAGGCAGAGCAGGTAATCTCACATAGAGTTAGCTTGAAGCTCAAGAATAGTTGCCTTCCACGAGGCTGTTCTCATGCTACAAGTATAAACAAAAGATTTTTGTAGGACAATATATTTTAAGTTGACCAAAGCTTGTAGCTTGAAATATTCATTTTTAGTGGCTGCTGATACAGGAAAATAAATCACCCTCTTTCAGATGGAAAGGATGAAATCATTAATCCAAACAGTGATGTATTTAATTATAGTATAGTAAGCCAAAGCCTACAAATGAGCCCACTGGGTGGCAGCAATTAATATATCCACTGATTACATACAAAATCACTAAGGCATTTTAATGTATCATTTATCAACATAGTCTAGATCCTGTAGGATCACTTTCAAAAAGTAATGTTTTCAGAAAATATGGTGTAATATTCAGCATAAAAATAAGATGCTTACAGGCAAGAATGTAATAGCACAAAAAAAGCAGGACTTTATTTTTAGTGTTAAAAAATGATAATTTTTGCAAATTGCTTTTCCCAGAGATGATGTCAGTCTATATCATAAGTCAGTCTGCAAATTTTCTCCAGTTACATTTCAGTTTTGAGAGGAAACCTATTACCTTCACAGCAGGTATTTCTGGCAGGTCTTTTTTAGAGTTGTAGCTAAGGTGTTTTGGATTCTTCCCTTGGGATAGGAGGGACTAGAGTCTCTGATCTATCCACCTGTTGGCTAAGCAGCTATCTCAGTGACAATACAAACTTTGTCTCCTTTGAGCAGTGTCTTTCAATCTTGATCTTCCCTTGCACTTCATGAAATGAATTATCCCTGTGCAAAGCAGTTATCTGAGAAAAATTTTGGAAAATAAGTTATCAAGGAAAAGAAAGGATAATTAAAAGTGACTTAAAGATAAACCAGTGATGCTTCGTGCTCCAGCTTGCAGCAGTTCAGCAATGAAGATGCCACAGCAGTGATGTTTATGTGCTCAGAAGTGCAGAAGACAGAAACTTATGGAGACACCTCTGTCAACTGACTGGAGAAATCCTACTGGAGGAGAGGATGCCAGTGTGCAAGTGGAGGACAAACTCCTTCAGCTTCAGATAGACAGAAATCACTACAGATTTATGGCTGTCTCAGTGGCAGATACGGGTAAGAACATAAAATAACATCATAGCTTTTATGTAGTGAATGATATAATTTGTTTCCATCTTCCTACAGTGGCATCAATGTTTTCAGAAGTCAGGTAACTTGTAAATATGTGCTCATATGCTGTTGGAAGCAGGTGAGTTGCTTTCATTTAGAAATCTTTATTATTTTTGATGTGAGTGATGTACAGCTCTTGGTGACACGAAAAATTTCAGAAAGAAAGTTCTGAAGGGGGAGATTTATTTTTTTCGAGGGCAAACCCATGATTTGAAGAGGTGGTATCAGAAGTATTTTTAAAATGCTTCTAAATGCTCAGTTGGGTGAAAAATACTCCAGGAGTTTTTAACCAGGAATGAGTAGATGAGGAAAACAAAGCAGTTTAAAACCTAATTAGGCACTGGGAAACTTTTAAGAGACCAAGCAGCCTAGGAAAAGATGAGTTTCATTTTAAGCGGCTTGGAATCAGACTGGGTTTTGTTTATCATCATCTTTGGGCCAGAAAAGATATTTTGCATAGAGTCTTGAATGCATCTGTCACAGAGCTGAATGTATAGATGTTGTCTTATAGAAAACATCCGCAGTAACACTTCCTGATAGGGATGATGACAGATAAGCCTACATCTGAGAACATCTTTCATTTCCATAAAACACATATCTGTTCTTTGCTTGCTAAGTGTATTCTTTCAAAACAAGGTACAGATCACTACCTAGGAGGCAATTCATTAATAGCAAGGCTTGCTGAAAGCACTGCAGTTTTTCAGCTTGGCAGTTTGCAAACCTAGGAGGTTTCATGGGGTTCAGAAAGAGATGTAAAAAGAACTATTTTGTGCACCACAGGTACCTTCTTCCACATCTTGTTGGCCCCAAAGACTAGCAGACCAATAGACTATAAGGAGATCAATATTAAATGGAAATGTCAGTGTAGGGGGAGCAGGCTGGAGTTTCTGAAAAATTGAGTAAAACCTCCTTAGTCTCACTAGATGGTGCTGCAAAAACCCTGAACTTCTGATTTAAGACTGAAAAACAAGACATTTGTTTATGTAACAGAAAAATATAGTTATTTTTTTAATCCCCCCTACTCCTTCCTGTTACATATCCTGGGTAAAGCCTTTTTAAAACACTGTAAGGAAGAACCTTGGTAATAATATTACAGGATATGGTGTGTTTGTCCAACAGGCTCATCTGTGTGTATGATGCCTTATCTTGAAAAGCATCAGAAAATATCCTGAGAATGCACATATCTTTT